TGGTGAACAGCTGATAAGTCTGTCTAAGGCTGGTAGGTGTGCAAGGCTTTGGTTTTGCTGAGTATGGGGGTTCAGGGCAAGAGCTAAGTTGATGAAGACATTAGAGGACAACAAAGGCCTGGAAAGGATGGAGAGAACTGGAAGGAACCAGTTGATAAAGAGTATTTAAGTTGTGAAATGGCTTCATTCCTTCAACAAGTATCTCAAAAGTCCACCTGTCAAGCTGTGTGCTAGATCCTAAGAAGGTGGCCAGGAACCAGACAGACACAGGAGCTAATCTCTAGTGCAAGCAGGCCCTCACCCGGGAGCTCCAAGGCCAACTTTCTCCACCCACTACCTCAGCAAATGTGTACTGCTTGCTAATGCTCAGTCGATGGGCAGCAGGAGGGCACAGAGGAAAACTGTCTTGTTCCAGGCATGGAATGAAACAAAACCACAGGCTCTCTGGTGGCCAAACATGCAGTTTGTGTGCTCTAGTCCTCACTGGCTTCAACACTGCACCTGCGTGCCTGCGCACACATGCAGGTGCTCTAGTCCGCCAGTGGGAGCTTTTTAGGCATCCTCCTTACAGCAAGTTCTTCGACTTGCTTTTAATGTCATCTCCCCCACGTGGGTCGTTGTAATGGGTCTGCCAGTCAAATGTTTCCCTGAATTCTCACTCTAGAGAAAGCACAGGGTCCCAGCCCCAGCTAAGTCAATGAGACTTCAGGAGCTGAATCCCAAAGGGAGAAACACAAGAATCAAAGGTGGACCGAGTTTAGCCCAGCCAGACATGCGGATGAGACCAATGCTATTCCCTGGATTCCCGGGCTCCTTTCTACACGAGGATTCTCAGCAGATCCTTGGTACCACGGCTTGTCAGTGCCGCCCCTCAAGTCAAGTCTCAGGCAATTATGGACACCGTTCAATCTAGCGTTGTGATTGACTCGGTGTCTAGCGCTCGGATTGGTGGTGTGAGTGCTGCATCCGCCCCAGGGGTGGAGCCGACATAGAGAGTTAACAGACGGAAGATGTCTCTTTCACTGTGCACCCTTGCTGTTTGCAGGACCCATACATGGTGTCCCGCCAAGCTTGGAGCCAACTGAATATGGCCTGAACCCCCCTCCCCCAACCTGTAAGAAATAAACCTCCTTCCTTCACGTTGGGCGTCAGGTATTTTGTCTTAACAATCAGAAAAAAAGTAACCAAGACACTTGGAATCAAAGACCGTTTCCTTATCTGAGCAAACTTCCTTACTCAATGTGTGTGATTACGAAAAGCCCTTATCCCTCCTCTCTAGTCAGTGTCTGGGCACTTTCAGAGCAGAACCTCTAACAGCAGTGAGGGCAGCCTGGCTGAGAGGACACATGTATCTTCCTACTTCTGAATCAGGATCGCTGGAACCCAAATATAAAGGTTCCCCTGAGCTAGCAGCAAATGCGCTTAACAAGAACACTCACTGCATGAGCCAGCCTTGAGGAAAAACCAACATCCTGAGATGAGAGGCAATCACACCCATCTGGATGCGGTGAAGGCTCCAAGTGACCCAGTGAGTTTAGCAAGCACTTTCTGAGCAATCCTGTTTCTGCTCTTCCAAGGGTCTCCCTGCCTGATGATATGGCAAGGAGTTCCTGTTTCTAAATCCTGTTTCTCTCAAATCTGTACAGGACACAGAGGAGAGAGAAAACTAAGTTCCACCTTCAGTTAGTCATCCCAAACATTCTTACCTGCCTTCAGCCCATACCAATTCTTTTTGCCCCGGCCACTCCAAGGCCTCACCCTCAGGAGCAGGTAAGTACACACCGTGAATGGCCGCTGCTGTACTACCTTTCTTCCCATTATCTCCCCAACTCTTTAACATGATGGTACGTGAGCAATAAACTCTTTAATGTTCCTGGGAGATCAGGCCATTAGCTCTCTACATTTCCCAAATTCCAGCCCAACTCATTCCCAATCCAAATTTCAACTCAGTATAAAAAAACAAGTACCCAGGTGTGGCAGGCCTGTGCTACGCCACGGAATACAGCAGTGAATATGCGGTGCCTGTCCTGAGGTGGTTAAGACCATGGAGGTGGACGATAAGGAGCAAATGACCCATGACAGACACAAAGCAGAGATCCGGGTGACAGGACTCACAAGAGAAGACACCTAACCTCACCCACAGGTCTGAACCACTGTCCCTCAGTGGAACCCCAGCCTGTACCCTGAAGGCTGACACGGCATCAAGAGACCTCCTTCTCCTTCAGTTGCAGCCTTCTGCAGAGCTGCCCCCACTTGAGGAATTATGTTCTGAAAGATCTTTCAAATTGATGGGTTTGGAGTTCATCATGCATCTGGCCCCTTTCAAGACTCACTAGGGTTTCAGGACAGGCCCCCAGCTCTTGGGTACCCACAGAGTGCAGCAGCAACAGTCCATGTAAGTGGCATTCGCCAGCTTGTCTCTGGTGACACACCGAGCCCAAGGCCCACTGAACCCCCTCATAGACGCCCTGTCTCCCTCATCACACCACAGCACCTCGCTCGAGGGCCCCTGCCTCCACCCCAGCCCGCATATGTGGGCACCAGTCCTCGTGCCATACCTGGCCTTCTCCAACCCCCAGTGCTGCAGCCAGCTGCTCTGCATGGGTTTCCCATGAACAGACCAAGATTCCCACTACGGCCCAAAAGGTTTAAGATCAGACCCCAGTCCGCCTCTCCAGCCTTTCCCTGCCACTCCCTAGCTGTATTCTGTATGTCCAGGCAACTGATCTCTATTCCAAAATCACTGGTCCTCACCATTCTACTTCTTCAGTCTGGACTCACTCACCAACCTCCCAAGGCCAAGCTCCTCTGTCCAAAGTAAGCATTTAACTTACTTGTACTGCAGCAGTGTGTCAGGCTAGAGCACTGTGTGCACCCATGAAGGGCCGAGCCATCCACTGAGTAGGAAGCCATACCTTGAAGGCAGACCACATCCCTTGGCTCTGCTTTGGCTTCTTCCACTGAGGAGCACCACAAAGGCCTTCAACTCAGAGCCAAGCTCCTATCTTGTTTCTGGCACTTTCCAGCTGCTTGATCTTAACTGAAAACTTTAAAAACTGGTAGAATGAGAATGACCAAGGTATTCTCACTTCTTAAAAGTTCCAAGGCATAGGCCAGGGATTTAGCTCAGCAGCACAAGCGCCTGCCTGGCAAGCATGAGGTCGCGTTTGACTCTCAGTACAAAAAAAAAAGTTTCAAGTCATTCCCACACATAGCTAGAGTGAAAAGCACAGATGAGAAGCATGCATCGCTCGCACAGGACGCATCTGAGTACCAAGAACTAATGAGTGAATGTGAGCTGAGAACTGACGTGCAGGAAAGGGAGCCTGTGAAGAAGTCCTAAATTTAACCCAGAGACAGCCCAAGCCCCGCCTCCCGGGAAGGCGCACACAGCAACTGCAAGCAAGCATGCCTCACCCGGCCTTCTCAAACCGGTGAGAAGCACAGAAAGACAAGAGCAAGGTTCCCGAAGGCCAGGCTTTGTGACTCTGGGCGCTTGGTTCCACTGGGAGTGTAAAAGGGATCAGACACGGCTGGCAATGAAGATGCTGGCAACAGCAACACTGCCTGTTAGGAGAGCAGCCTTATTCTAAAGGGAGCTTATAGCCAGGCACAACGGCACATGCCTGTGATCCCGCACTCAAGAGGCTGAGGCAGGAGGATCTTGAGTTCAAAGTCAGCCTGGACTACTTAGTGAGTCCATCTCAAAAGGCAAAACAAAAGGCAGCACACAGCACCGTCGTATTAGCAGTGGGCTGGCCTCCCAAACAAGCAGGACCCTGCCCACTGCCGCAGTATTTCTCTGCTATCAGAAGAGGGATGCACAGGTCCACTGCCTGTCACCACTCTGATGAGATACGCGTCACAAATCCCAGGATAGGTGTGTCACAATTCCTGACTCAGATGCTTGCCCTTAGGACAAAAAAGGCTTGGGAATGTCAGGACATCTTTGCTTTCTAGTCTCTGAGGGCCTTACACATAAAGATTAAATTAATTCTACAGCCCAAGAACTCAAATCCTGGAGCCAAAGCTCCAGAAACACCATTGAGTGTACTACGTTCAATAGAGCTCCTGGAGTCAGAAGCACTTGGCTTCACTAGAAAGGAAACCCGCGAACTGGGCCCCTAAGAATTAACCCACAGACCCTCCAACACATGAACAAAATCAAACACAGGAGGGTCTGCCATGTCCCCCGAATAACAGAAAGCATGGGCCACCCCTCAAGGGTTGGCTACATAAACGGTGTGATGCCTGCACACAGTAGAACAGGGATATGGAAAGGTAACACAGACAGCTTTCAAGCTATACATTTTAATTTACAATGTTTACCAATAAAAAAGATTAGTTACAAAAGGGGACATTGTCCATACAAAATACGAGTTTGCTTTTCCGTTATAAAGAGAAGGAAGCCACTGTTATATATCTTACCTTGCCAAGTCAAAACTGAAATGCAGCTTGTTTTGGTGAGACTATCCCAGAAACATGGGCAATTCAGACCAGATCAATAAATAATCAGCTTCCAAACTGTTTAAGAGGGTTTAAGAAACATTTTACTGAGCTGAAGAATTCTAAATACCTGTGGAGCTTTAGGAAACATTACCTGCTCAGGGAGGTAGGTCGTCAGAGGGCCAAAAGAGCCCGTGGCTGGCGCACTTACCACTGCACCTGCTTGCACACTTCCCACTCCTGGACAGTGTGCACACACACAACACGAGCCCCAGGAATCACAGCTTTCATAGCAGCACACTCAGTTCAGACTCCCCAGTACAATTTCATTATGTAAACTGAACACGGAGAGATTCACCCCGCCTTTCTGAAAAATGAGAAGCTCTCTTCAAACCCCCCCCCACTTCCTGCAGGAGACGCGTCACAGTTTAGCAAGAGTGGGGAGGGGCTGCCACGCGTAGGTGCCGCTTCCTAAACGTCTGTGTTGACTAAAGCGTAGCAGCAGCCACTCACCGCTATCCCCAGCATTCTATTCTCAGAAGAAAAACATAGTCTGCAGCCTTCAAGAAAACTTTTATTTGGTGACAAGCCAAGCTCTGATGGGGAACGCTCACCTCTGAAACAGTATCCTGGGAATTCGAGCTGGTCTGATTCACAATGCACGTACATTCGTGACTCAAAATAATAAAAACTTGCAAACGCAAATGATTCTAAAGCCCTTACAATCCAAAATTATGTGTGATTCACTCAAATGTGCTTAATTAGTTTTAAAAAATGATCTACCTACAAAAGAGTTGCACTTTTCTCACAATTACCTGAAACACCTGACCAGAAAAGGGCAGGAGCAAAAGAAAAATGAAAACTTAAACAGGGTCTGGGTGCTCCCTTCCCCAGTGTGGCGTGCTGTCTGACACCTACGTGCGCGCGCGCGCGCACACACACACACACACACACAAACACACACACACACACACACACACGAGGAGACTCAGACAGGAGCAGCTCTCCCCAGGGCCATGTGAGTGGGGATCTCCAAACACAGCACCACTCAACTCCGAGGTCACACAGGGCCAGCACAGGACACCAAAAGGACAAAGCCTGAGGCCTGCGGTAGAACACCACCCTGCAGTCCTGACCACCCAAGCTCAGGAAAAACCACCTGCATCAACCCTCAACCTCATCAGTACCAATCTGGCCCCTCGAACACATGATGCTTTTTTACAAAAACATCTGAAGAGGTGTCAGATGTTGTAAAGATGTTATGTCAGTGGACAGGCTGACACAATCCCAAAAGCTGAGAAAGCAATTCGTCCACTGCTCGGTCTTCTCCCCTATTACAGTTCTGCCACTGAAGGAGGAAAACAATTGTGTGAACAAGTTCTTTGTGACCAAGCCTTGGCAAAGTCAATAAATAAAGAGTTTGTCAAAGGCAGGATCATTTTGCGAGCAACCCCTCCAGTTGCAACTTTGGGAGCTGGGAAAAGCAGGAGGGAGATATGTGTGCAAGAAAGAGCTAAGAATCCTTCTGACAGGGTCTGGACCCCACCCCAGATGCCCAGCTCAGTGCCAGCAGACCAGGACCTGCTAACACTCATTTTTCAGATGGAAAGGGAAAAAGTGAAAGTACCAAAGTACAGTCCGTTTTGAAATTTGCACTGCTGAGATTTGTTCTTCGTAGCAGTAAGGACTTCAATGAGAATCAGAGACTTGAGGAACACTTGTATTTTCCTTCAAGATTTAAAAAATTCTGTCTCATACTGAAAGACTACATTCGGTGTGGGTCAGGTCCGACAGCGCTAGCTGGGACTCACTGTGAAACACACTTGCTGTGAAACACACCCAGCCCAGAGAAGGGGCGCTGAGTGCAGCAGCTGGTGGGCAGCCCTGAGGCGGCTTGTTCACTGGTCTCCAAGTCGAAAGCCCTGGCCCCAGTTGTGTCTTCCACCTCCGCCATTCTGGTCAGCAGCTCGTCTCACACTAGCAGGCGGCACACCAAACCCCGACACCCCTCCTCTCCTACTGGGCAGCCAGCGGTACCTGAAGTGGAAAGGGGAGACAAAGGCAAAAGAAAAAGCAAAGTCACATCCACATAGCACCCAGCACCCCATATATCTCCCTCTCTTGGGTGTTCTCGTGGCATCTGTCACACTGAAGAGGCCAGGGACAATGTCTCATTTAACTCTATCTTTTCAGCACTTAGCTCAATGCCTGGCCACAGATGGCACTTGCTTCTCATGTTTCTTAACTTTATCAAGCTTTCAGTTAAATTCACACTCTATTACACTGATTTTAAAAGTAACTCATGCAAAATAGTATAGAAACGAAAAGATTACACCCACAGGCCCAACAACCAGAAAGAAGACTGACTGCATTTTGGTATATCTAAATATGGATCAGAATGGATCAAAACTACAAACTAAATTTGCTTTCAAAGTCCAAATCCCCAGGCTGCACGCTGAGTCATGCACAGCACCTCCACAGCACCCTCAGCCAAGGCCACAGGGAGGCTGCAGAAGATGGTTTTCTACCCTGCAAGTCTGGGTATGGTTTTTTTGTTTTGTTTCGTTTTGTTGTCTTTCAGGCTGGCCTTGAACTCACTTGTAGCCCAGATTGGCCTCAAACTTCAAAGATCCTCCTGCCTCGGCCTCCCAAGTGCTACGGTTACAGGGTATGCCCCCACACCCAGCTGGGCATGTTTTTAAAATCTACTCATAACCTGCCTCTGACTTCTTCCTTCCCATCTCCTACCTGGAAGGAAAGCAGAGGTCCAAAAAGGTTTGATGATTTCTCCCCATGTAAGTTAATACACTAGGAGTCACAGAAAAGCTAAGAAAACTTAAACCCAAGTCTATGCTTTGGACAGCATTTTCTAACTATTTCCAGTTCTGGCCTAAAAAAATCGAGAATGTGCTTAAATCTATTTCACTTATTAGGTCCTAATATAAACTGATGCCCCTAGTTAAACCGCTCACAGTACCAGAAAAGCCACACAGAGCAGCAGTTTCTACACAACCTTGGGTTGACAACACACAGGTGTCAGGAGTACTCATACCTGAGCACGCAAATTCACCGGTTCACCCCTCTGCACAATACATCTATGAGGTAGGCACTATGGTAGCAACCTCTCTGTTTATAAATGAGAATACTGGGGAGGGGGCAAGCCTGAGTGATGCTCTTCAGGACTGACAGGGCGAAGACAAAGGCCACAGCCTGCTGTGGAGCCTGCACTGCCCACTACTTTCTACAGGGCAGGACTCTAACCGACGGCAGTCAGAACGGGAGTCCGCGTGTGTTTCTACCATCTGTGAGTCCTCCACTCTCGTTGCAAAAAAGACACCTGCCCCTTCTAAACAGAAAATTAACTGTGTACGGAGGGAAAATGCATCTTCTAAATGGGGTGCAGAATACTAACCCTTTTAGAATTCTGTAACTCACCTTTACCCTTAAACAAATACAGTTTCATCATTCAATCAAAATGTAATTTCTAAGACTGGGTCCTCAAGATCTACAACATCCGGCATAGTAACATTCCTCCAAAGTACCCAGTAGAAGAGAGTGCTTGAAAAAGGCAAAACTAAGTGTGCTGCTTACACTGAGACAATATGGAAGCCATCTCCACTGCCTAAGCAGACAGTGACATTAAATGCAAGTAATTAGTATAAAAAGATACCCAATTATACATAATCAACAAAAATTTATGGTAATTTCAAAGCAGTTACTGCTCTTGCAAGAAGCTACATTTTGTCATCTGATCTTTATGCAAAATTTAACAGAAGGGCTTCCACCAAGAGAGAACTCTCAAGCAAAGGCAGCTCCTGTGTGCTGATGACTGCCTCAAGAATCACGTACACTTTGTCATCCACAATTAAGAAATAACTGTAAGACATTAAGTCAGAGTGTGACCATTTAAAGTAAAATAACTGTTGGCTGCCCCTCAAAACACACACTTTTTTTGATTGATACATCTGCCATCCTACTTGATAAATCTAGATGAGAAATTCAAACCTGCTGTTATTATGTCCTTTGATAACTGGAAAGCAGATTCGTCACTTGTTTTTTCAGCGTGGAGGTAACCCAAGGTTTTATTTAATTTTTAAAAACCACCCATGTATCAGTATTATCTTGCTTTTTTGTATATTGTAGCTCACAATACCGTCTTAAAGGGGCACTGCTCAAATTGTGCTGCCCACATTGACCCCTCTGATGGACAGAAGTGCAAAACATTAAAATGAGAAGACATGAAAGGAGTTTCTGTTGTTGGTTTTTAAAGCTTTTAAATACAAGTCATTACGGCAGATCCCTGACATGAGATTAGGCGTGGCTGTCAGGCAGGCTGTGACACCCAGATGGCGGCTGAGCTGGTTCCTTCTCCGACAGCCTTTTGCTTCACTGACACAGTGGCCTGCTGCTACTACAGGCACAAGTGTGTCAGTGTCTCTCCTCAGCTCACTGAAACCCCACTCGAGAGGTTACTGACTGATGCCCACCACCATGCTCAGGACTGTGCTCATCTCCCCTGCCCTCGTCCACTTCAAGACTTGCAAACTGAAGCCTGGGGGCGCTAAGTAACTGTCCCAGTACCAAAGCCTGTACGGCTACAGCCAAATGGCTCTTGCCCTTGGCCTCTTCATGTGGAGCACCCTTAAGAGCAGACAAAGAAAGGCACACTCCCCTAGGGGGATGGGACTATATGAACCTCATATCTTTCATTTTATCTTTGAGCATCCTACAAAATTTCAATACTAAAATATCAACCGCCCCTTCCTCGACAGAAACCATGGTCACAGCCTGGATACGGGGTACCTCTGCCTGCTGTGCTGCCTGACCTGAGTCTCATTACCGGCAGTCCTCTGCTAGTATCCCACGCAGAGTGAGGTGCTGGCTTCCACCCCTGACTTGCTATGACCGAGTGGCTAACAAGTCATTTATTAGCTCAACTTCTCTATCCGATGGGAGGTACACTGGACCCCTCATGATGCGCCTACTGAGAAACATGAGACCACGGGCAACACAATGTCTGTTCAGTGAGAGAGGAAAAAACACTTACAAAAACTGAGGTGTAGATAGAAAATTTCTTCCTCCCAAGTCCATTGGGTATCTGAACATTAGGAAGAAATAAAGATGTCCGACAAGATTTCCAATTAACTCATTGATCACCCTGAAAAAAGAACCAAATTAAAGACAATCAAGCAATAAAGTGAGATGCACCTAGTTTTAATTAGTAGCATGGGGAAGAAATCTACACTGAAGCCCACTTCCAGTCCCGGGAGTCTGTGACAGCTCTTGAATAGGTAGGCCCTTTTTATAGTCAGAGTGACAAACGCATTCTAAGGGAGAGAGAAAAAGTGACTGCTGAACCAATGTGGACCACAACTCCTGCAAGCCAGCAGCCCCCCTGATAGCGCCTCTAAGCTTGGCCCATCTCAAGATGCTATTTGTGCTATTCCCTACCTCAGGAGTGAGTCATGAGCACTGTGTATATGAAACACAGGCAGACAGACAGGCTGCCCAGGGAGAAGCAAGGACAGTACACGCCTGCTCCCCATCCCTGGAGCCCCTGCTTGCCCTCTCTACCATCTCATGTCGAGTGTCAGGAAAGCTGACCTTCAACCTGCAGCCTACAATAAACAGTGACTTCCTTAGATTCCCCATGGCCAGTGGACAGGTCACCTCAAGATTTTATGGATCCACTCTTACTATCTTCTGCACCTCTAGCATCACTCCTTGTCAGGGATAAATCAAGGCAGTTGCTTCCAGACTCTGCCTTTCTGGGTGGAAGAGGAACAGGACCACACTCTGAAACTGCTATGCCCTAGACCGAGTCTGCTAGCTCAGTTCATCTGCTGTTTTCTCAGAACACAGAAGCTGGGACCACAAAGCAAAGCATCAGATATAGGAAGAACTAGCAATCACCGAACTCATGAAAACGTTTTGTGTCTGACTTGACTCCTGTAAGAGCTGCCCATGAAATGAATGTCTTTTGTTCTTAGCATATTTCCAGAATGCTTTAGAAACTGCTCACTATCAACAGAAAAGCAGATTTTCAGATGGAAAGTAGTTTTGTATAACAAACAGGCAATCCTAGAATAGCTGCATCTTGATGTTTTCCCCCCATTTCTGGGGGGTGGAACCCAAGGCCTTCAGACTAAGCTACATTCCTGGCCCATTTTTCATTTTTTATTTTAAGACAGGGTTTTGCTAGGTTGCCCAAGCTAGGCTTGAACTTGCAGTCCTCCCGCCTGGGCCTCAAAGCATAATGGATTACCAGTGTGCCTATTACTTTCCCTTAAAAACTGTCTGGATACATGAAAGGCTTTCCCAAACTTCAGTTCTAATTACTGACAACAAACTAGGAATGCACTGGATAGCCAAACACATGTACCATCAAACCACTTACAAAACTACTTCCCATCTGAGAATCTGCTTTTCTGTTGATAGTAAGCAGTTTCTAAAGCATTCTAGAAATATGCTAAGAACAAAAGACATTCATTTCATGGGCAGCTCTTACAGGAGTCAAGTCAGACACAACTTAGACCTTAGTTCAGTCTGGATAGTGAATCCAGAAACACACACTTTCAAACATAACATATAGAAATGTACTATATCTACTGATGAACTAAGAAGACTATAACCATCCATTGTTAAACATACTTAAAGCTACAATTTAACCACTTACACTCAAAATGTAACAATTAGGTTCTAACACATCAATATTGAAATTTAAAAAAAAAACATTCATAACGATTAGAGAAAGAAGATAAAAAGGTAAATAGAACTTTTCCAAGGATTAGTTTCCCACTAAATAACGCTAGTCACTTACGAGCCTCCGATGATATAGTTGAATCCAAGGATAACCCAAGGTAAATAACAGGCCTAGGAAAGAATACACATAAACATCAACAGCCATACCTGAAGAGGACAGAGCCATGAAGGCAGGTAAACAGAAATGGATACACTGATAAGGGCTTCAGATAATTCTTCGGGAGGTGACTGCAAACTTCTCAGATCAACCCAAAGCACACTTAAAGCTTCCTATATAAAACTGTATTTGTGCACTTGTAACTGTATTTTCTGCCATAGTCCAGATGCAGTATATAACCTGCTGGATTCATATTAACAAGCTTCAGAAACCAGTGTCTTATGGATGCTAAACACAGGCACTACAGAGTCAGTCAGACTCTGACCAGCAAACTGTAACAAAGTCATCCTGAATTTCTAATTCATTACATATTGATTTCTCAAATAATTCTGCACATGGAATTCAACATGTGAGTCCTCTAATATATTCAAGACCAGACATCAAAGGTTAGGGTGTTGCAAGGATCTTCACAGCTAGTAAATAATATAAGTACTCAGCTAAGTACACAAGAAGAACACAGGGTACTGCAAAAGCCCAAAAAGACTAACTAGTTCCAGGCAAGGGACTAAAAATACAGTGTGTGTTCAGCCTCATAATGGGTAGATTTTTTACAAGGAAGAGAATCAAAAAGTTACAAATGAAAAACTGTGAGATCAGGTACAAAGGGAAGTCTGGAGGCAAAAAAAAAAAAATCTGTCTTGCTAAAAATGTTAAGCACATATAGGAAGTAGAGAAATAATAAGAACAGATTTTAAATCACAAAGTTTCAAATGCATTGCATACACTCGTCACTCATGGATACAGCCCTGAGGGCCTGAGCAGCCAAGGAAGAAGTACAACAGTTAGCAAAAGAACTCTGGGTTGGCCCAGGAGAGAGGGGCCTGCCTCGATACACTGCTCTTCAGTGCCCTCTCCTGGCCAAACCAGGAAGTACATCTCAGGATGAGAGAATTCTGCAAAGACGATGAAAGTTTTCCAAGTAAGGCCAAGTACCTTGAATCGTGTTCCAAACCAAAATGATACCATCATGTCTCTGTTCAGCTGAGCCCAGACATAAAGTACTGACATGATCAGAGGAATCATCAGCAACTGCAAAAAAAGTAACATGTAAACACCTGGCTCCAGGAATGCACAGTTTGAATAAAGGCTTACCATAAATCTACTACACTTATTTCTCCCCTCCAAAAACAATTTCTCATGTGAATAGAAAAAGCAAAAGAAAATTCAATTCATAATAATTACAAGTTGATCCCATTATTTAACTCACACAAAGAATGCTACAAAGTCCTACAATAAAATGCAACACAATTACGTTTTTAGATGGACTCACATACTTAACTCAAGCTGTTATTTGCAAAAAGTAGATTTACTTACCATATGAGCTCTATTTTTTTTTAAAAAAAATCCTTACATAAACTTAGAAAATACTGCACAATCATTATTCTCAATATTCAAACAATACAAAAATGAGCAAAAAACCCCAATGATTTAGATTACTCATATGAGCTTTAAAAATTCAGATGACTTAAAATCTTCATAATAAAATATATCATTCTGTAAGTTCAAAATATTATACCATCACAGTTAATATAATTTCAACTTCTATCAAAGGCTATAACAGCAAGTCTAAATCACACAACAGGCAAAGTTTAAAGGGATACTTACCTGCATATCCATTGCCAAGCCGGTAATCTTGGTTTGTGAAGTTAAAGACCAGATAATAAAAAGTATTCCATACCTATCCAGTCTGACATGCTTACCCTCCACCCCTGTCAAGGAAATATTAAGCTCATTCCAAACAGTTTTCTGTCATTAAGATTACTTAACACATCTGAGAACACTAAGGTTCTGGTAATCTTTATCACAGCTCCATTAGACTGTACACAAGGAGATGAGAAGTCAGTAGCCGCAGCCTGACTCAGGAGGTCTTTTCCAGCCTGCCACAGCGTCTTAGCACCTCTCCTTCAAGAAAAGGACAGAGATACCTGTGTGTTTGAAACACATAATGATTCTGCACACATTCAGGGCTCTAGAGCATAGCTGAAGTCCAAAACTGTTTCATGTTTTTTTTTTTTTTGTTTTTCCTTTTCCATTTCCTCAAAGGCAAGGAAAGGGTATCCAAAGCCTCACATTTTGGCTCTTGGCCCACTTTGAATGGAAGGTGAGCCCACCAGCAACTGTGAGCTCACAACTCTACCCAGGACCTGAGCCACGAGTCCCTGCTGCTGTTCACACCATCTGCAAGATCCCAAGTTGGCTGTGTGTTGACAACTGCAGCTGACACAAAGCACACATGTGGACTGTGTGGCCAAAGCTTTGCATTTTGTACAGGGTCTTTTATAGAGGGAATAAATTGCTACTGAAGAATGCAAAAGAACTGAAGCAATAAAGTCAATAAAGGACACTGGTGTAAATTAAATTTCTGATAAGAACCACAGATTTCTAAAGCTCTCAGCACAGAATCTCTTTGTGCTTCAGTCAACAAGCTGTCACCCTTGAGAACACAGAGAACTGAGAACAAGAAAGAACAGTAATAAAACTCAACCAAATGTGAAAAAAAAACCTACAAAAGCAATGGCAAGAGAATGTATTACTCAATGGCCATATGATCTACTAGAGCTTTTAAGAACTTTAATTATTCTTATTGATTAACTGTAGTAAACAAAGATGCAAACACTCATTTGAAATTTTTATACAGTACCGTCTGTTTCCCCAAACCTGAAAACCAACAAAGGATTCACTTCTGACCCGAAATAACATGGAAGGATACCACGATGCAAATCCAGTTAAAGAGAAGCATGAATAAATAGTCTGCTGGCCTCCCATCAAAAGCTCCTGAAACAAAAACAAAGCCACAGTCATGGTTCATAATTTCAGAGCAAAGTAATGTCAACAGAGAAAAACACTTCAAAAAATTAGAGAACATCAAGCTGAAGATATTTTAAAGTCATTCCTCTCAAGCAAAGTCCATTTTTGGAAGCATCTGAACCATGTCCAGGTTCCCCTATGCTGCCCCGAACTCTCAGTTCCACACTCTGACTCCCATCTCAATCCCAGAACCCGAGCCCCATCCCAGACGTGGTGAGAGCTGCTGGAATCCCATCCTGGTCTGCTGGCTTACCGCAGGGTTTCTATCACAACCTGACACATTGTTGGTTAACTGCTTAGTGCCCATCTCCCACTCCTGGATCATACACTTCTCAAGAAGCACTTGTTCTGGCTACCATTGTATCTCCTCCAGCATGACTATGCTGAAGCATCTTTTGTGTGTGTGGTCTTTTGAGACAGGGGCCCCCTCTGTAGTTTAGGCTGGCCTCAAACTCATTGTGTAGCTTAGGCTGGCCTCAAACTTGTGGTGATCCTCCTGCCTCAGCCTCCCCAGTGCTGGGATTACAGGCATGTGCCACTGGGCCCATCCTGGAGCACGTTATCACTATCGTCATTACTTTCTTTCTTTTTCTTTCTCTCTCTCTCTCTCTCTCTCTCTCTCACACACACACACACACACACACACACACACAGACACACACACACACACACACACAGGCATGCCCAGCTCTGGGAGTAGCTACTGAGACAATTCTGTCTCTATCTTGCAGGTACCTATGTTCCAGGAAGAGGAAGTGATAGGAGAGGGAAGGGGACGAACGCAGGCACCATTCCACAGACTTGTACTGTGAGATACAACCTACAGCTGCCTTTTATAAGACAGCAAGTGGTCACACAGCTCGTAGAAGCAGAGTGATGTCTAACTACTGCCTCACCTCTCTACCACTGTCCCATTAAACATGTTGCTTTATTAATAGCTGGAATAATCAACAATCTAAATCTATGGCTAGAGATTTAGCTCAGAGGCATAATCACCTGCCTGACAAGTACCAAGTCATTAGTTCAATCCTTGGTACAAAAAAAAATCCAAATCCATCTTCTGAAGATTCCTAATGCCTTCAATCTGAAGGTTTTAAGAGAAGTGAAAACACACAAATAACTGTAAGATCACTATAGTGGTTGACTGACTGTGTCAACTCGAGACATTTAGAAGCTTCACTAAATGGGTTTAGCAACTCTACATCCAAGGGCGTAGAAGACCCACCCTAGGGTGGCTCATCACCTGGAGGTATGAAAGGGAAGGAGGAAGGACGAATGCATCCCACTCTTTGGAGAAGCTTTGGTTTCACCTTTGATTTGGACCTCGTCTCCCGGCCTCCAGTGTAGACTCCTCAGCTTTCCGGCACAGACCCTTCAGCTCCATCATGGAGCTTTCTGTCTTCTGTCGCAGACCCGTCAGCCTGCGGGTGTGGACTTGCAGGAGATACTGGGGTGAACTCCAGACCTTGGGTTGAACCCTTCGGCCTCCAGCGTGTAGACACCCCCTGCACACATCCTCATACGGACTCTGCTTCCTCATCAGACTCAGTGGCTGACCACTGTAAGCCAATCTTGTTGTTTATCTCGTGCTGTATGTTTTCTCTAGTAAACCCTGACTAATACAATCACTCCACTTAAAAATTACTTGCCCTCTGCTCCACACTCTACCACAGTTGCATGATAAAGCTAGTCAATTAAAAAAAAAAAAAAACACTGGAGGGTCAGAAAGGAAAAGGATATAGTATCTAAAAGAAACCAGGTTATCAGCAAGTCCCACACTCGCCCTTGCGTCTTGTCTTCCTGTCACCTCAAAGGCACACCTCACCCACACCTAAGGGTGTTTCATGCTGAAAGGTCACAGTGATGGATCAGCATTGCTGAAACACTAATGCATTTTCTGAAGTTAAATAATACCTGTGCTCTGTGTGGTTTTTGCTTTGAGATTTCTAAGAATTCTTTAGATTGAGTACTTAAGATATTATAATCACATAAATATAACATTTGACATGCCTGCAACTGGAAATTCACAATTAACTGGTCTCAAATTGCAGTCTTCCTGTTCAAATCAGAAACCTCCTAAGTATGCCAATACTTCTATATACTTAACAATTTAGGCTGGCAGGGAAATATGCAGGTGGCAAACATTCTGTCAAAATGTTAACTTGAGGCTTTACAGCAAGACAGCAAAAAGGGAATCAGTATACATTGATTCCATTCTTAGCTGTGTTATACCAAAGAGTTCGACAACCTCTGGAATATGTCACCACTGCTCCAAACCACTGCTGTGTTCTTGTCTGGGAAATGAAGGTTGAACAGAATGATCACAAAAACTCTTTCCTACACTGTTATGCACAGCAGCATGATTCCTAACACCACAGCCAAGTCAACTGTGGACAAAATGGAACTCTTCATACATTGAACTCTGACGTGGTAATAAAAGGGAATGAATGCTCATGCATAAAATGCTGATAGATACATGCCTCACAGAATCTGAACAACATAACGCTAAGTGAAAGACACAAGTTACAACAGACCATACACAACATGATTCTGTTTATAAGACATGTCCAGAAAGATGAAACTAAAGGGCCAGAAAGTAGATTGATGATATCCCATAGCTTACAGAGAAAAAAGGTATTGAATGCAAACAAGCATTGACTGCTAATGGGTACAGAGCTTTAAGGGTAAAGAAATGCTTTATAAATTATGATGACTGCACAACTCCAGGAAGATACTAACAACCACTGAATTGCACCCTTTAAATGGGTGAACTGTATGTTGAGTGAGTTGTCCCTACATATTTGTGGGAAGGGACTGGCTCTAGGACATGGATCAGATACCAAAATCTGCAAATGCTCAGATCCCTATATGAAATGGTATATACTATTTGCATAAAATCTGCACGCATCCTCCCACACATTTTAAATCCTCTCTAGACTATGTATACTATCTAATACAATGTAAATGTTTTATAAATAGTTGTTATATGGCACCAGGAAATAGTAAAAGGGAAAAAAGTCTGTATATATTCATTTCAGACTTGATTTCTGCCAAATATTTTTTATCTGGTTGAATCCAAAAGTGCAAAAATGTAGAAACCATGAATTCAGAAGGGCAACTGGATATCTTGGTACAGTTGTTTGAAAAACGCTGCTCAGTGCAGGCATGATGGCACCCACGTGTAATACCACAGCAGTCTAAGATAAAAGGATTCAAAGTTTAAACCCAGTTTGGACAACTGAGCAAGATTGTCTCAAAATAAAAATATAAAGTCTGAGGATTCAGCTCACTGTGAAGGCCCTGGGCTCCATCCCCAATAAACACACACAAAGCCTCTCAGTTTGGGCATTTCAAAATGCTCTGTGCTTAGGGAATAAGGAATGAGAGGGCAACTTTTGTGAATCAAAGCAAACAAGAGATCAGGAGCCTAATAAGCCCATGGATTTTTCTTTTCTTTTCTTTTTTTTTTTTTTTTTTTTTTTTGGTGCTAGTAATTACCTTGCACTTAGCAAGGCAGGTGCTATGCTGCTGAGCTATATTCCAAGCTCCCATGGATTTTTCTTAAATGTTATTCAGGTAGATTAATAGTAAAAGTTTGGTGTATTATCCAAGTACCAGAGATAGGTAAATGAGTTTAAGGACATTTAAGTAATAGAGATACAACAAGTAAAAAGTGATCAAGGAATTATTGAGATTCAGGTTCAATCTTAAAACAGTATTAGAAAGATTTTTGTAAGACTATTTCAAAGGCAACTACTGAAAGATTTATGAATGAAATAACAGCATGCTGAGTATTTTACTTTCGATAATGGAGGGTGAGGTAGCCATCAAAGGCTCACTAGGAGACAGCTGGAGGTGGGTGATAGTCAAATGGGGGTTCATATATCACAATATGAGTTACGAAAGGCCATATGAAACATCCCTAATGGTAAAGCCACACAGAAAGTAGATTAGTGGTTGCCAGGGGCTGGGCGAGGGGAAAAGGAGAACAGAGAATGCCTGCTTATGGGTTTGTGAAGAATGATGAAAACCACAAAATTACACTGTTGTGATATTTACATAACACTGCGAATCAAGACCACTGAACACAATTTAAAATGGTTAAAATGAGCCAAGAGTGGTGGCTCACCTTCATAATCCCAGCATTCACCCACAATCCCAAAACTCAGGAGGCTGAGGCAGGAACACCACAAGTTCAAGCCTAGCCTGAACTACACAGAGACCCTGTCTCAAAAAATAAACAAATAAATACATACATACATACATACAAATAAAATAGTTAAAATGGAGAATATTATGTGAAGTGAATCTGACCTCTATTACAAAAAGTTTCATTCATCTTCTCTACTTTTATTTATATTTAAAGATTTCCCATAATAAAGACTTATCAAAGATAAAAATAAACAGTCATAGATAACCCACACTTTATCTACAGTTTATTACTTACTTTTTAAAATTATTCCAACAACTTAAACCTCAATTGTATCAGTAGGGTATAAAGCTAAGCAAGTCAGAGGCAATAATCAGACACAAATAGAAAAGGAGAATGAACACCACCCGTCCTGACAGATGTAGGGTTCAAGCCTGATGCAGGTAGAGCGGCCTCGTAGGCAGCTTCCCCTCAGCTGACACACTACCCTTCCTGGAGCTCTAAGAGTGAGCAGGACCTCCAACTTAACAGCCGGCAGATTTACTCTCTCAAGTCAGCTGCACTTAACAAAATCACACTCATATTAAGATAAAGTATTGATTTATGGCTTTTTAGTATAACCAACTTGGACTGGAATATAAGGTATTGTCAGAAATAAAATTCAGTAAGATATTTTGAAAAAAAGATTTTGACAGTTTATTCATACATCGTGCTGGTACAACATATGATAAACTACCATATTGTTAATCTCAACTACGTATTTTAAAGTAGAGTGTTTCAATTATAGAAAATAAATCCTGGCTTTTATTTGCATAAAGTAATATTTTTCAAGCTCAATCTGAGAGACCTGTACACTCCAGCCAATGCTGCATCAAAGGACAAAGAACTGTCCTATGACAAAAATGAGTAAGATGGCCAAATAAAATGAGAATTCTATAGCTCAGCCACTGAGAAATTGGGCAAAGCATGCAAACTTTTCATCTGCCTTTTTTCACCTACAAAATGGTGACAGATACTTTACACTTCACGACATTGTAACACAGTCTTTGCACAGCCACTGAACACACATACTATCATCACACCAAACTGACTGCCCTTAAAATTCCTCCAAGGAGTAAACACATGGATCAGTAAATTAGAAAGAAACAGTACTTAAAACAACTATGGAAGACATACCTGTTTCAAGTCGTGTAGAATACTGATACAAGAAATATAAATTGACCAAATAAAGAAATCCAGTTCCTGGACCCACAGGGAAATAAAAGGTGGCAGTGATTGGCCTCCAAATCTGTCCAGATCAAAATAAACACAACTGTTAGTTTTTCTAAGGCAGGTTAATTGACTTTTCTTTTAACTAAACACGATGAACTTTTTTTGGGTTTTTTGTTTGTTTGTTTGTTTTTGGTACTGGGGATTGAACTCATGACCACACACTTGCCAGGCAGGCGCTTGTTCAACACAATTAACTCTTGCAAAGCATTTTCCTCAAAGAGAGTAATCCAAGTGAAACCATCATTATGATTTAAGAACTAAGATAAGTTTATACCAAGAATAATCATCAATTTGCAAATCAATGAAATACAAAGACATCACAAAATAAGCAAAAAATTTCTAAACAAGATGAAAAAAATCAACACCATAGAAATATACAGTGAAGTCTTTTACTGATACGCATATGCCTAAGCCTAAGATCAAAACCAAATTTCAAAGACTTTCCAAAACTAAATCTCTTAGGAAAAGAATATACTGGGATGACTGTGTCCAAAACTATCATATTCAAAAGGTAAAAATAAAGCAGGAATTTTTTATTCAAACAATATTCTAAATAGGTAATGTAAGCACTGTTGACTTGAAGAGCAATATCTCCAAAGTAAGAAATATGTTAAGAGTCTACATTAAGAATAACCCTTGCTGCTGGATTCCTGCCCCCGCCCCCGCCCCCGCCCCTGGTCGCCCAGCTCCCCATGCAGCAACAATTCATGACTTTCTTGCCTGCCTACCATTATTTACCCTTCTTCACACTACTTCACACTGTACTGCTTTACACCTTGTTTTATGCCCCTAACAAAATATTTCCACTGCCCTCACAGTATCCCTTTTATGTAAACATTCAAACTTCATTTAAACTGTTACAATGCCGAGATGAATATTCTTGTTATGAACATACAGGATAAATTTTGTGAATCAATCTGCTAGATCAACAGACATACACATTTACTTTGTTAAGATACTGTCAAATGACTATAGAAATGTTTAATCAATTTATTTTCCCCCTAAAATGTAAATGAGTACCCACCTTCTCCACATACACCATCTAGTACATTTTATATTCACCAATTTGAAATCTCTATTTGCCTCATGAGAAAAACAGAAGTATCTTTTCATGTGTATCTTTGCACCATTCTTCTGCTAGTTTTGCATTTATACACTATGGAAATTGCTTATTCTCATTGCAAGTATTTTCTGGTCTGTCATAGACTTAACAGCTTAACGGTATTTTTGCTGTAATTTGGCATGTAAATGTTTAATTTGTAGACAATTATATTCATCGTGTATCACGCTTACAGTCTTCCCACTCCAAGAATAGAAACGTGCTCACAGTTTTACTACGCACCTTCACACTTAATCTAAGAAATAATGAAGGAATCCAACTTACTTTTCTAAATAGTTACCCACTTGCCTCATTCCTGCTTATAAAGTAAAGCACATTTTCTCTAGTTATTTGAAAAATGACTTTTACTGAATAATTAGTCCCTTTTATAAAGTCTAAACTTTGACAATTCTGTTTGGAATCAATGCCTACACTAATATCAAGTTATTATAATTTCCAGTTTTAAGATCTGATAAAGTTAAAGCATCTCCTGCCCCTATTTATCTTGAACTAGTCTCAATATTTTATTTTTCTAAATGAATCAGAGCTAATATCTATATTATATCAATGTGATCCCCAGCCAAGAAGTCTTTCATAGCTCTTATATTTTCCAACAGAGCTGTATCTTTCTCCTTTTATACTCAACTTCCAAAGCTAGTTGTTATATATTTGAAAACTGAACCTCTTAGGCTTTCCAAACACACGACCCTATGAGTAAATAAAATTGGGTACCTTATTTCATTCTCATCTAGTTCATGAGCTCGCACCTCCAGAGCAACATTAAACAATGGTGAAGCAGACTAAACTGCCTTCTCAGCCATCTGGATGCTGGTTTTTGCTTGGACGCTGTGTGTTCTATGGCACACTACCATGTCAAAAGAAGCAAGAGCTGGCATAACTTCTTGAACGAAGTCCCAAGAAGATGCATCAGCACAATAAAAGAATAGGTTTGCTAACAAATTCAGATGTGGCTGGGATGGAGAACGTCAGCCACGGGGCCTAGCCAGGTCCAAAGCTGGCAAGCCGCATTCTCTAAGTACAGGAATGTAATCAGCAGGGATTTAGAGCCTGTGGAGGAAAAATCTCTAAGTCAAAAGTGACTTTCCAGAAACCCTGTATTAAGCCAGTAAAACCAAACAGGCTAACATTCATCTGGATTTATTCACAACTTTATCATAGAAACAGTATGGTCTAATGGAAAGAGTATACTGCAGATGATATAAGAAGACATGAGACCGTCTACTGTCAAGTTACCATTTCTTAGCCTCAACTTTCAATCTGTAAAATGGGAATCACACTGCCCTACATTAAATGAACAAATTTTAAATAAACAAATTAATGTATCACTCAGCCTATTTATATATAACAGTTCAGAAGACTGGTTTTATACACAAGCCAACAGTATTGAAAAGGTTGACAGCTAGTAAATGGTAGAGCTAGACTTTTGTTCCAGTCTGACTCCACATTGGTGATACCCTCAATTTTTTACTCTGATACTCACGAATGACTTCATTATCCTACATAAAATTAGTAAAAATTTTCAGTACAATTATGCCTATACATGACCTGCTTATGAAAAGCACTAAAGTACAAACTGGAAGCAAGTTCTTCATGACTCATAAGTAGCTGTGGAACCTTAGACATACAGATCTTTGAGGTGGCTCTCTTTACCTACCCAGTGAAATCCATCCCTTATCTCAGGGTCTGTAAAACACTGGGCTCAAAAAGATGTGTTGTAAAAAAGACAGAGACAGAAACAGAGTGTACTACTATCACAACCTCTTAGGAGACACCCCCTGGCCTAGTTTTTACACATTTAAACTATCCCTGTATTCCTCTAAGTTACTCAATGTCTGATTTTAGAAAAGAAACCCTAGGGTTTTTTCTGACTACGTTCCCTCTAATGCTGATGACAGAACACTATTTTTAGCCACTGTGTGCACCTGTTCTTTAGAAATCAGTGTCTGTCAAAATACCTCACTTCTTTTCCTTATTCACTAAGCTCACACTTCATTTATACTTACTTGGCTTTCAGTGCTCTGAGGCTTAATATTATTTTTGTATTACTTAAAATTATGATTTAAAAACAGCAGCACTCGTCTCTTTAGGGAAATACTGTATTGTAATGTATTTCTGAAATCCCCATAAAGTCCTCCTCTTTCCTCTAACTGACATGTAAATAATCACGATAAGAAAATCTATTTTAAGAAGAAAGCTGGGCCCTAGACTTAAGGTAATACACCCAGAGTTCCTCACAGGACAACAGCCCACAGGTGTGCTGCCACAGGAACCATTCAAAAGGCACAGCATTTAGTTATCAGTCCAACAATTTATTCAGAATGGGTTACAGTCATCCTTTAATCACAATTTGAATGATCTGCTATTAACTGTAAATGCTATCCAGAGTGTAGAGGTTTTTAAAGATGAAAAGCAAAGATTTTTCTGAAATATAAAGGATCAGTTGACTCAAAGTTAAGTTTGGTTATGGCTCATCAAGAAAGATAACCAGCACATGTGTGTGGAATACCAAAGTAAACTAAAGCTTTTTTTTTTTTTGAACCATAGTAGGTAGGCAAGAGAAGACCGTTTTGAAAATGAAAGCTACCAAAAAAAAAAAAAAAAAAAGGAAAGCTACCCAGCCAGACATGGTGATGCACACTTGTAATCCCAGCACGCAGGACTGCTGTGAGCTGAAGGTCAGCCTGGGCTATACAATGAGTTGGAGGCCAGACTGGACTGCATAGCAAGACCCTGTTTCAAGGGGGGGAAAAAAAAGGTACCCAGTATCAATTTAGAGCTTTAAAAAAATTCATTAGAAACAATAGTGTGTTATTCTATTTATTTACATGCAATGATTCAAGAGATTAATTCAACTCCACTGATCACATCCCTAGATATATACACAACAAAAAACCATACCAAATACAATATGGGTGACTCTCCAACATCCTATTGATAACAGCCACACCCAAGACTGTCTGTTGTGCAATTCCACTTAGAGAAAGCATAAAACTTGGCAAAGACAACCTATAGTATTAAAAGTCAAGATAAAGTACTAGCACCCATGGATGGGCAATCACCAGAAGAGAGCAAGAGGAAGGTTTAAAAGTACTAGTCACGGGGCTGGGGATTTAGCCCAGCGGCATAAGCGCCTGCCTTGCAAGCAGGCAGTCGTGAGTTCGATCCCCAGTACCGATAAAAAGGAAAAATCGTGAGTTCGATCCCCGTACCAATAAAAAGGAAAAAGACAAAAAAAAAAAAAGAAAGTACTAGTCACCCACAGATGGGCAATCACCACAAGAGAGCAAGAGGAAGGTTTGAGGGTGCTGGTCATGTTACCCCTTGACCTGGACATTAGTTTCTGAAAATGCAACAAGTTATAAATATATGTTTTCCTGTTTATATACTCTAACTCGGTAAAAAATTTAAAAATAATGTCACAATTAATGGGCAACCTTATCTACAAACCACAACTAAACTGTCTCAATGGGGACAAGAATGCTCAGAAAAGATTTTCAACTGTTCACACCAAAACATTAACATCACAGTTCTAAATCCAAACCCTGCAGAGATTTCCATGCTCAACCTGCAGTCAAAGTCCATCCCCTTACAGGTCTGTGTGAAAAAGCTCATATAGCCTAAAGCTGGCCAGCTAGGGATGCAGTCACGGGGTAACTGTAAATACAAAGCTTTGTAAATATGTAAATATAAGCACCAGTCTAAATCACAGACATGGTTGGCTCCATTTTTCATTCCCGAAACAATAGAGAAGTTGAAGTCACATCTTCCCCAACAATAATCCAAGTCATACTTCTAATTCAAGAAAATTAAAATTAAAATCTAGCCAGGTATGGTGTACACAGCAGTGCTATCAGCACTCTGGGAGGCTGAGGCAAGAAGACTGAAAGTCTGAACCC